ATGGCGTGCTTTCGAACCATTCAGTTTGTGTTGGCGAAAGATAGGATAGCAAAAAATATTGTACACTCTGTTGCATTAAGGGATTGATATTAGAGCTCTTAAAACACGTGTCACGGAATTCACGTGTACACGTGAAGTACATGTTTATCCAAAATATATATCCATTTTTACAATGGTAAAATTAGTAATTTTATGTTATACACTTGAAGTTTTAATAAAATATTAATAGTACAGTATTAAGTTAAGGATATACGTTTTTATTTTGGATTTTACACGTGACACGTGACACGTGAATTCCGTGAATTCACGTGTATTAAGAGCTCTAATTGATATTGTTTTTTACTAATATTAGCGATATATATAATTTTAAAGGATCAATTTTAATAAATTATTAAAAAAATAAATGTTTGATGTTTTTTCAATTTTATATTCTGTCACTGTTTACAGCACTGCATACCTCTTCCACTTATATATCACATCCTTACACACTTATATTAAATTAGTTATTTTTTTTAAAAATAATAAAACAAAATAATGACAAAACAACGTTTGTCGGGTCAGTTAGTAATATACTATTAATTTATATAGTAATATGTATATTGGTTATGTCATATTTTTATAAAATAAACAGCTATAATTATAAATGAATGATGTTTCTATTATATAGAGTCAAAGTATACAGAAAATTACAATTATTAATTTGAATTTTGAAAAGGGTTTATATTTGAAGATTATAATTTTTCAGGGAATTCAAATAACTTATTATATTTTTAAATTATTTGCTTTATTTAAGTTTTTTTTTTTCTAAAATTACTGACTATTATTTAGTGTTATGTCCATGTAATAAAATATTTTTGAAGTAGAATTTTATTGGAAAAGAGATTAATTAAGTTTTCAGAGTTCTTTTCAAAATTCGTCCAAGGACGAAAGTGATTTAAAATTTAAAATACCCATGTTGTTGCATAAAAATAAATATAAAAATCAGAAAACAAATCCTTTTATTGTTATGACTTTTGATTATGAGTAGAACATTAATAAAATTAAAAAAAAATTACCCAAGGACGATGGTGATTTTAGTAATTATTGAAAATACTCAAAAATAATATAAAACTTTTCTTTTCTTTTTAATTTTATACTTATGACTTGATTATTAGCTGAAAATTATCTCCTAAAAATTAAAAATAATAAATAAAGTTTTCTTATACTTTAAAATTCATTTTAAACGTCCCTAATGTAATGTCGCATCCGTCGATCACTGCAGAGTTCTTTCAATCAAATTTACGAAATCTTCAAGTATGTATTACTTTAACTTCTGTAGATCGTTCATTTTACAAATTGCAAGTTTAGAGTATGAACATGCTTCAATAATAGGAATGTTTTCACAACGTCCGTTAGTTTTTGATCTGACAAAAGTTTCATTACTTATTTTATTGCCAATGAAGGGATGATAGAGGCTTCACCAGGTTTTATTGGATCAAGGGTGTACTAAAAAAAAACTCGACACTTGAAATGAAACTTTATTCTTTTTGTAAATTTTTTTCAATAACATCTTTCTGATAGCTTGGCTCTAAAATTAACTCAACGCTATAATTTGAAGTGTATACCGACAGTATATGTTATTGTTTAACTATTGTTACTAAACTTCTTGCACATAGTACTGCTTAGTATTACAATATATTGATGAGTGAATAACCGAACTTTTCTTAATTTAACGTTTAATGGTCGCAATATGTCTGTATAATAACTACGGGCTTATAACGTTTAGTATTTTTAATATATTTTTTCTTTCTATTATTTTGACAATCGTCAACCTCCGAACTGCTGGATTCATCAATATATAATACACAATCATGTTTAAAAATGATGTATTGTATACTTGATATAATAACTTCAGTAAGTAAATTGGACGTAGGTAGACGTAATGTAATTTAACAAAGCACTTAGTGAACAGTGATAATATTATTATTGTATACGTTATAATCGCTATGAATAACGATGACTATCGACCGGTGCGACAACTGTCAATCAATTATCATACATCAAACAATTTCAAATAGGTTTCATATCACTGATATGGGTTCTTTTCGAAATGTTGTTAAAACAAGTGGTTTTTTAATCGCAGTAAAAAATATATTTGGATCTTTCTTGCTCATAAAATGTCGGTGTATATAGGTAAACAAAAAAAATATGAAAAGTCTGTTCGATAAAAACTCAATATAGGCCCTTTTCAAAATTCCCAATTAAATTATATTTGTAAACGAAAAATAATTGGTTTCTTTTTTCTTTAGAAGAGGAAATAAATTATATATCTTACACAAAAAAAGAAAAAAAAAATTACATTTCTGTAAACTTGATACTCTAAACTTTGGATGAGAAAAATTCACACAAATGTTATGACCAGAAAATGGAAAATTTTTATTTTGTCTACTACAGTGAAGTAGAGCCTATTATCGGTAAATAATTTCAGAAAATAAAATCATTATAAAATTATAAAATCCGTCCGTTATTGATAGATTGTCAATTTTTGATGGACAAAAAAAATTTAGGTTTTTCTTAATAATTTTAATTTAATACAACGTGTTAGAATAAAAATAATTTATAAAAGTTACCGCAAACGTAATTTCATATTTTGAAGACATTCACGTCGATTTTATTGGAACGTTCACATCATTGGTTTTTGATATCAGTATATTAGTACTGTATTAGTATTAGTATTAGTAGTCGTATAGTAGTTAATAGTAGAATATTTATATACTCATGTCCGTCTGTACCTGCGTTAAGTTTATTTCTTAACGATTAGTCTAAACCTTTATTTTGTCATACCGAAATGATAACGGAAACAGATATACTACGTAATACCTATGTGTACTAAAAGCGTATAGTTTTTGAATTCGAATTACATAGAAGATGTATATAAGTTATCATTGGATACGCCTTGAAATAATTTTTCGTTGAAGCTTGTTAAGTAGATTATTTCATAAAAGACACATTCGTAAATCCTATTACCTTATAATTTAATTATAATTTTAAAATGTCCAGGGAAACAACGAAGTTATATTTTTTATAATAATGTGCTAAATTTTCGTTAAATAATTGTTATTTTAGTGGACGTGCTCAGAGAGTTTCACACAATCATATAATGTAATCGATCAAAAATTAGACGAAAATTAAATACGTCAGAATTGATGTCCATTTTTTTAGTTTTTTTTTTTTAGAAATATAGCTAAAAAAAATCCAGCAAAATGTATAACCTGAAATCATAATATATGAAGCTGGGCTTAAAATAGTTTTTAGAATAAAATGATTAATCGAATTTGGTTGTAAAAAGACAACACAATACACCGCTTCTATGCCAGTCTTCTAAAATATAGGCCTTATATAATAACATGGTTTAAAAACGAACGTGTAGAGGTAGAAATGGTTTCGTTTGTATATCGATTGTTTTGATTTAATTTAAACTACACTATTTATGAAACGTAAAAATATAAATGTCTACTAATATATGATCCGTTAGACAGTAACTATATTGTTTTTCGATAGATTATGAATTACTACATTGTATTACATTTGAAAAACTATAGTTGAAATATATTAGAAATATAATTAATGTGTAATATTATAAAAGTTAAACGTGCATAAAATAATTTCGTTTAAAATTATAGTAGGTACATATAATCTATACTGACGGGAGGATAGAAAAAATAAAAATAAAATCTAATGTAGTATGCAAATTAAAAATTTATAAGACATTTTATAAAATGTTTATGCTTTAAATTTAAAGTTTATTCTCTATCCATTTAAGTTTTTGTATTATTAATTTGAAAAATGAATATGTTTAATATTAAGTGCGGTAAGAATAATGGTATATATTGATTTTATAAGACTGCATTAATCAATTAACAATGACAGTCTTAAGTTTTTATTATCTACTACGTCAGTAACCTTTTTTCGTAATAATTACTCACCATATCGAATAATACAGTTTTTGAAAATACATTCAAGCTGTAAAGGTTCCTTGCAATGTATAATCATAAAATCTACAATTTACTGTTTTAGATTCTATGTGGAATGATGAGGAATATAATAAACAGTATTTATTTTATGTGTCTGTCTAATCGGTATTGACTAAAATGATTACTCCAATCATCAGAAATATTTGTTGTTTTACCAAACGAATAAGAAAATTATAAATTTTATACTAATATAATGATGTAAACTGTCTTTAGATACAAAGATTGCTGCTGATGCACTTAATTTCCTTCACTCATAATTATTTTTCGAAACCATCTATAGATTGGTTTTAAATTTATAAAAACAGTTTACTCATCTCTGTATGTCATTCGACCGTGGGCACAGTTTTTTCTTCTTCTTATCGTACAAATATAGAATCTTACCAGACCACCAATTTTCTTGTTTTAATGGATTTTATTTCATACTTATTTGTATAACAACAATTATGTACATATTATTATGTACAATCGAAAACAATATCATAATGAAGTAGTCATGTTAACAATAAGTAGTGTGTAAAGGCACAGCATTTATACGTGAATATGATAATAATAGTTAGTGGAGAAAAATAATAGTAATGAGAATATTTACTATGGTATGTTAAGCAATTTTTTATGTTGAAATAAAGGAACATGTTGATTAAAATAAAACGGTATACAATAGGTATAATTACAACATTACAAACAAATCATCAAACGAAAAGAAAATATCATTCATATGAATAAAATTATAAATTTTGAAATCGTAATACATAATACATATTTCCTATGTTATAATATTTAAATATATGGTTTTTTGATAAAAGCTGTACTTTTACAGTCCATATTTGTATATCTAAAGTTAACCAATAGGTATAATATTTATTAGGTTCTTAGTAATATAAAGTAATATAATTAATAACAATAATTATAATTATTATAATTTTTGGATTATACGTTTTACATAATATGATATAAATGCAAATGTGATTAAAAAATAAAACAAAAACATTAAATATAATATATACATGTATATTATAGTTACATTTAAATATTTTCCATTCAGTATTTATATTTGACTGCGACGGATTAACGCCATGTTTGATTTTTTTCTTCCCCGTTTCACATGATTATAGAAGTTATAACAATAGTTAATTATCATAAGTTACATATCGGCATGGAACACTGTTTATGTTCGCGTATTAATTATGTCAACTTAATCGAAACAGTATCCATGCAAATGTGATCATTACCCACAGCGAATGTAATCTGCCACACCGATTGCTGCCACCGTGTTGCATGGCAGCTGGAGTTTCTCCTAAACATAAAATATAAACAGAACAGTTAACAATACATGAATACCGTAATATTATTGTACAACATGATCGTTTTAATCTAAAGACTTTTGGAAGAAATTAATATTGGCTTTTCATTAATTTACATTAATTAATTAATTACATTACATCCCTTTCAACTATTCTAATCTATGGAGATATTTCTATGAACATTACATTTTTACATAATAAAATATTTTTTCTCCAAGAAGGTATTTTTTTTTATATTATTTTTTCGTATTATAATACCTATGATAAAAAGTTATACATAAGAATAAAAGTAGGAATTGACGTTGATGGTAGTAGTCTGGTTGATTTTATATTATCGATAGTTAATCAATTTTTGTTATTCGAGTTATTAAGAATCTTATGATTACAATTACCAAAATATAATTTTTTACATATATAAATATATATATATACTATTAAGAATGAGCTGATACCATATTTTACCTGTATTAAAAAAATCAACTTTTTCGGTAAAAATATGAACCAAAAATAAAATAAAATTGATACCCGGTAAAACCGATACAAATTTGGTTTGATCATAACCACATATTGTGCCATTAACAGTAAATTATATGTTTCACATATTTCTTAATATATTTTTATAAATATTTTATGCTTGTGTGTCTTTGTCAAAGTAAAAAATATTTTTATATTTTGGAATTTTAGTTTTTATTAAACGCTTCTTAAATAATGAACCGTGTATACAAGGTTAAATATTTCACTGCCAAAAGAAGGAAGGAATAAAAAAAGTATATCTATTTTTATTTTTATTGAAATTAATATAGTTGTAAGGTTATTTTAAAACATACAATTGTAATGAATAATAATTAATATATATTAAAATTAAGATGATTATAAAAAACGCAGTATGTAAATTAGTGTCTTTTAGGTCTTTAATAATACATTTTTCATATTAATTTAACTTCTACTAATATAAGTTCACATCCTATAATATACTATGTTTAATAAAAATGTACTCTGCTGAAATAATAGTTGGATGTACCGGAAAATATAACAATGATCAATAAACTCAAAACGAGCGAAAATAAAACAGTATGTACTGCATAGAGTAAATTATAATTATTTATTTGTACTAGATTAATTATTTTGGATTTGATACGATAATTAAATATTAAAAAAATTAAATATGTGTATAGCTAAATTAACAATTGAATGACAATTGATTTATTTAAAGACATGGACATATAAAAAATATAAAATATTTTCAATTTAATATTCCTGAAGAAGTGACGTAGTGTTATATTTGTAGTTCTACGAATCATGAAATGTTGTAAACAATACGTTTCATAAATTATAGACAATTATTAATATTATGGTTTATGTGTGTACTGCAGTTCGACATACCAAATTTGCGATATCGTTATGTATATAAGTTATTTAATACAAGTTTAGTTGTTAAAAAGGGAAACGCAAAAGGAAAATAATAAATTCCCTGAACATTTTTTGTGCAACATCATTCGTTTTAGATTCTGAACAGAACAGTAAATGCAACCAAACTATTTTTTAATTAAAATCCATTCGAAGTATTCACTTCCAACTATCTATAATTATATATTAAAAAAATTCAATGTTAAATATTTTCATGTCTTACAGGAACTCAAAATGACTGCACGTTACTGAACTAGCGTTTATAATTAGAAATAAAAAATTTTATTGAAATTCAAAAGAGTTTAGCGATTATATATATATTTTTTTCATCCGAAAAGAAAGATAAAATGTAGGTTGATTGTCAATCAAAAATAATTTAAAGCCTTTGACAATTTAAGCATAACATGGGCATATGACGAGTCGAATTTACTCGGACTTTCCGAACGATATGCACACTTAATATCGATTCAGATATAAAGTTCTAATCAAATATTAATCGACGAACAAGCTGCTGATTCAGTGTAAACCACAGCACGACGTTCAACGTCACTACCGTATATACATACGAGTATGTTTCAAACGGTTTAGTTATAAACTTGTAACCGTTCAGCTACCAATTTATTTTCAACTGATGTTTGAAGCTACTCGTAAAATACTTAAAATTTAGAGACAATCACGTTTTTGGGATAAAATAAATTGCTCGAGACTTTTTGACAAAATTATTATGCAATTTTTTAATATAGTATTATATAATTTATAAGAAATTATTATAAAATTAATATCTTGATCGATTAAAAGTACAAGAATATAATATATTCTTATAATAATATTAAAGTGACACACGAAAACGTATTGTAGCTGTTCTTCACGACGTGTTTGGTTTGGTGCTAATAGTAAAACTTCAGGCTATCCAAATCAACATACAGATCTTTCTAGATGTGCCTTCTGCTCTGAAAATCACCCAGCAAGTTACTAAAGCTGTTTTGTATACTAGAATTTCCAACACGCCAAAAAACCAAACACAAAAATTAACTTTATAACAAAAAACTTTAGATTTAATTTTAGAGTTGTAAAATATAGAAAACCATTAAATGAAACTCCCCCAGATCGATCTTATTGATAACTGATTAATAAAGTTATGTTTATTAATATAATGACCATTAAATTACAATTAATATTACAATTTAATGCAACTGTATAAATTACCAAGTCAATGGACTTCAAACCGTATTATTTAATTAATCCATTGACTCAGCATTAATAACCAATATAAAAGTATATTTTATAAAACAATGAAATATTTTTAAATTTGTATTATATATTCTAACATTTATAACTTAAGTTCTAAAAACAAAATATTTTGATAATACGGTCCATGGTGATATTGCAATTTCAATAAAATGTTCAATCTTTTATAAACCATTTCCTAGTTTCTATTAAGATTGTTTATAATCTTGTACACTAATCTTAAAATTAAACTAATTATTCCCGTTTTAAACACAAAATTAAAATGTGATTTAATGTTTCTGATTAATTCAACATAACTTGTAATAATTTCACAGCGGTTGGTGATTTTAATGCTAACCATCACTTTTGGAACTGTTCTTCATAATTTTGAAACACCAAAAAAAAAAAACTGAAATTTTTTGATACTTCGGTCCAAATATTGGTTATCCATAATCCGTAATAATCATGTTGCATTCGATGTTATAATAAATGCATATTCTCCCTTAACCACCTTAACCTAACCACAAATATTAAGAAGGAATTTTTTATTTCCTCACTTCTGGTATTTCATGCTGTGGAACATTTTACCGCAAATTAAGTTTAACATCGTACAAATAAATATCTCTTAATTAACCTCATTGGTCTAATATTATTATTATTACTGAAGTTAGATAGTTTTCCAAAAAAGCAACTAACTACAACACACATTTCTTTCATTTGTAGATTCCAATACATCCCAATACTCTGAAAATATCAATTTATTACCCTTGGTTTGGAGCCAAATAAACAACTAAATAACGTTAACACATTTTGACCTATAATTCTGTAATCTTTTTTTGGCAAAATTCTAGAAAGGGATTATACACAAACAAATTTTACCAAACTTATATGAAAGTTCTATGCTCTCTGACACTCGGTATGATTTCTGCAATTCACATTCGACAAACATCAAATATATGGTGTTATGGATGCTATTATTTTTGAACTTAAAAAAACCATTCTTAAATGTTTCACAAATATTTGTTTGTGCATGTCGGGCTCTTAATCAAACTAAAAAAATTCATACATACAATTTATATTTTTAAAATCGAATCTTATCTATTTCTCGGATTAGATAAGGCATAGATTTTTCTAATAATGTCAAAATCTTTGCTAGTGTTCTATATGGCGTAATATCTTATACTGACATATATCTTGCGACACATAGAAATTTTCTTTTAATCAACTCACCACGCTATTCACACTGGTCGATGATTATGTTGATGATATGACTATAATATCCACAAATTCTAACAATTTTACTGTCTTACATCATGTTTAAAATAATCTTATCCTTATGGAAATCTTTTATACAAAATTGCAACTCAAAATCAATAAAATTATATAAATACACACCAAATGTTTACCTTGCCCTGCTCTCTCCATTTATGGCACTCTTATCCCAGCTCAAGTATAATCAAATACTTTGGATTTATCATAGACCATAGACTTATTTGGACTTAGCATATTTGATTAAAAAAATTCAATTGAAACTATCGTTTACGTTAATTCAAACTATAAATTAATAATAATAAATATACTACATCAAAAATAAACTCAATATTTATAAATCCTTAATTGAATTAGTCTACATGAATGGCATTCAAACGGCCCGAGGAAATGAAAAATATCAAAACTTAATAAGACAAAAAACTTTGAAAGTATATTCTCTAAAAAATTACTAAATGCCTCCTTTCTTTTATTTATATTGGTACCGTACATTCTGATCTATGAATAATTAGTCCTTCATGAAAAAAAAAGTTTCCATAATCGTATAATTTCCAATCACAATTGGAAACTTATGGTGAACATATCATTACTCAAAAAACATGTGAACGATGGTTTCAACGGTTTAAAACTGGTGAGTTTGACGTAAAAGACAAGGCTCGTCCTGGTCAGCCGAAAAAGGTTGAAGATGCAGATTTGCAAGCTTTATTTGATGAAGACTCGAGTCAAACGTTGAAGCAATTGTCAAGTGCATTGCTCAATCTACCGTTGCCAAAGTCTAATCGCAATGGAAAAGGTCCAGAAGAAAGGGAAATGTGTACCATATCGTTTTTAACAATGCTCGACTCAATATGTAAAAAAGTGTAAAAAAGTATTTGAAAAACACTGCATGGACTGTCCGAACAACATTTCCATTCTTAGGAAGAAGTAAGAATTTTGCTCGATAGATGAAGATTTTTTCTAGCCTGGAAACTATGATCTGCTAAAAAGGTGGACAAAAGTCTTAGAAAACGATGGCCAATACTTTGATTATTAAGGAAATTCATATTATTATGAAAATATGGCAAATGCCTGAATTCTGCGAAAAAATCGA